GTTGGTCACCCCAAGCTGGAAAAAACTTGATATGACGGAATGGCGAAATTTAACCGAACGTTTGGTCTAACATTCCCATCAGAATCTATTTGTTTGTAAACTATACTTACGTATATGTGTGTTGACACTGATCGAAGGGTTCGGTCTTTAATGTGCGTTAAATATTCAACTACAAGACTTGACCAATGAATATTCAAGTAGGGGATACATTATGATTGGTTTTCGTCAGGTACGGCCACATTGATCAAAGGCATGTTTTTAGCTGTCAATTTAGATGGTGAGAATGATGTTAATTAATGTATACATATTAACAAATTGGCTACAGGCTATAATACCATATAGCGCGAATCTAAATGACGTCAACATATTCATACGCTGTTTGGGGTCGAGACATTCCGTCCGGTCAAGACGATTCTTAGGACTGTTTGAACTTGTTTAAAATTTATCATGGGTCTCGCTGGTGGGGCTAATAAAAAGCAGCGCTGACCCCTCGTTTGGGTGGGGTACATATCACACGTAAAAAAAATCGTTGAATAATAGGTTGAAAACTTGATACTGTGAAGATGAATTCGTCGAGTCAGAAAACAGATTATATAATGTAGGACAATGTGCAAACCCATGCTGTCTAAATGCACAATTCCAATGTAAGAAAAAGTTTAATAAGAAAAATAACGAATTTCCCACAAAAGTACAAAATAAATTGGTTACTTTATTTACCTCATATCCAACTCGATCAAATTGTTTTATTACCGTTCAAGAAAAAATGTCAAATATATCATGATTTAATTGTACATATTTCTTTGAAGTGCTTCAAAACGTACTATCACACTTTGATACACGACTAAGTCAATCTGTCAAACAAGAACAGGGCGGACGCACCAGATTGAGCATAAAAATAATAAAAGGAAATGAAAGGAAATGAAATGGAGTTTGAAATGAAATGGTGTTTAACGTCCTACGTGTTCTGCTCCTATACTGGGCTAATGAAGACGGGAAATGGAGTTTAATGTCCTACTGTTCTGCTCCAAACTGGGCTAATAAAGAGTGAAATTTTGCCCGGACAGCGGCACTACGGCCTACTCTTATATCAAATTCCAACTGTCAAGGGATCTTTTACGTACACGCCAATGTGTACACGGGGTCTCGGGTTTTTCGTCCCATCCGAACGAATAGACAGTTGTCATTGTCAAGCCCTCCGTCCTGCAATAATAAAATGATTTCAAAAGGAGATGCCTTTATACATACTTAAAAATACGAACGATTTTCTGGCGTTTCTGATGGATGGCCGAATGGTTAGCACGTGCTCGCTGTATGATAAAGTCTGTTGTTGAGTCAACTGGCGTGGTTTCGATTCCGCGGTTGTACGTGACAAGGAGTATGGTTGCCTGTCAAACCTCGTGTATTTTCTCCGGATGCTCCGGTTTCCTCCCACTGCTAAAAACCCCTTTCAAGCGAATATTGAAATAAAATTGAACCATGTGTTAGTCCCGAAATGACCTGGTTTGTGTATAGTGGACGTTTAACCCCATTTCTCTCTCTCTCCCCCTCTCTCTCTCTCTCTCTCTCTCTCTCTCTCTCTCTTCTGATTCTAGCTATGCATCCCCAAGAACCGAACTTCCCCTTTAATCTTTAATTTCTATAAAGAATTTAAAACCTTCATTTAGCTTCTATTCTCTCCATCCCCCGCAGAACCCCTCCCTTTATTCATTAATATCATACGGAGTTTAAAACCTCCATTTAGACGGCATCCGCTAGTTTTTATTAATAATACTGCTGTTCAAATGTAACTAATTACATAGCTATTGAATTCACATGTAGTAGTGTTTGATTTCAAGGTTGTTATGACGACTGTTTAGTGGGCTATTTGAATCAACTGGGAGAAAAATAACATTTCTAGTATCATTAGCCGTGTGTTATTATAAACGTCATCTGTTTACATGTCCTAATATATTTTTTAGGTACCCCTATATAACCCCAAACAGAAGTTTCTGAGCCACGGTGGCTAAGTGAGTAAGACGCTGGCTCGCAAACCTGGAGGTGGCGGATTCGCTCCCGGTGTTGGCCGAGAAAGTTCATCGGGATTTTTCGTCGTGGTTTCCCTTGTTAGTGGAAATCGATATAAGAGTAGGCCGTAGCGGGCAGAATGTCCCATATAAGCACACTGTATGCTGTTTGCCCGTCTTCATTAGCCCAGTCGGGGCAAAACCGTAGGATGTTAAACCCCATTTCATTTTTCTTTAGATCCTTTTTATTACATAAGAATCTACTGAGACTTCAGTGGCTAATACATCAAACTTTCTAATCCTGTAGGTGCTTCGGTATTGTATAATACTGGACACTACCAATAATAATACCCTACTAGATGAGGACGTAATTAACTCTTCTAAAGTTCAAATGACGGCCAGTGTACGATTTTATCAAGGATGGCTTTAAATATACCATACGGTGTCTTAGTGAACATGTCTCAAAGACTCGTCTACTGGGAAATCGTGAGCTTGATCGGGATCAAAATGTTCCTCATTGGACCTTTAACGTACTACCAGTGATCTCGGTTTCACCTTGTACGAAATCGGACCGTTTTTCCTTTCTAGGCCCTCAGTCTTGCACCACTGACATGGCGAAACCACTTTTGAAAATCCAGCGCTAGTATAGGCGTGGTTGAATGGTCAAGGGCGAGACATTAAGTAATATATCGATACTACATGAGGACGTTAGTCCAAGGCCTGTATATTGCAATCCAGCAAGTGTATTTCAATGAAATCGTCATGCGAGTCAATAATTATTGCATCTAGTATAAATAATGTACGAATGACCAGCTGTCCGTAATGATACGCCAACATTCATCAAAGGATAAAGTCCCATCTGTATTTTAATATTTAATAATCTATACAATGGACATTTATTATTGTTTTTATAATAACATGACAGTATTTAATAATTTACACAATGAAGTATAAATGTAATAGCCAGATAAATGTTGTGTAGTTCAACATTCTTCTCCGATTCTTGTCATGTCATGATTTGCTAATCATTAAATCTTACAGACAAATGTCAGATCGCCAGATTAATTATAAACGTGTCTCGGATTTTAATATACAAGCCAACTTGTATAGCGATCAGTCTACTGCATTCACGACGAGCTCAAATCTCACGTGTCAACCCCCGGGGGCGGACTGGGTAGTTCTGGGCCCTCGGACCATCTGTTTTTTTCGGACCCCCAATTCAATGATAAATACTTGAACGAAACTAACTTAGCGCACTCATAGGATTTAGGCCATTATATTTTTCAGGGTAAGGAAAGATGTCAAAGATTTTTCACCGCATTAGGGGCCGAAAAGCACAGTACGTAACATGTCAACCCCATGTCCACTCGTGTCCGCATTGACGTGTACATACAAGTACCTTTGAGATTTGGAACTGGACAAAACAGTATGCAAAAAAAAAAAAAAAATGCCAGTACAAAATTCTTCTAGATCTACACAATTGACCACAACAATTTACCGTATATTAATTAAAAATGATCAAACTATTGTATCGATGAGATACATTCCAAAAACATCACATCTGTTTTTGATTCGAGAAACATTTTCATTTGGGGATAAACATACCGTAAGCCATTACATGTACTTTTATTTTGCCACTGCGGAGGAATCTTTTGTCGTAGGAAATCAGAAAAATCTGTTATATCACACTGCAAGTGGTTACGCCCGTCTTCATTACCCCAGTTAGTGCAGAAAAGTAGAACGTTAAACTCTATTTCATTTCATTATGCTTGATTGTGTGACGGTATATAAATGATTAAATAATACCACATTATTACTCTCATTGTGTGTTATTATAATTTGTCGATGCGGCATTTTGGCAGGATGTTGACGAGATTTAATTTCCAACAATTTACAAATCTAAAGCGGCGGTGTAATTTTCGCTGAGAAAATAAATATAAACAGTTTATATATAATAAATCATACTAAATCCCACAGACTCACCTAATCATCAAACCCTTTAAACCTATAGTTGCATATTTTGAAAGTCATATGTTTAAAACATGTTAAAATAAAGCATTTTGGAAATATATAATTTACCAAAATAAGAATACAATAAATTTCTAGAATCTAGATTAGTTACTGATACGAAATATAGTTCTGAATTCTTTCGAGATGGAAATAAGGTTACTTTCTTGATATCGACGACGCTGTAAATTATAATTGTAAATGTCAATTTTTAGACTTCCGGATTAAAAGCTTACAGGGTGTCACGACGGGTCTTAACATTCGGATTAAACTTTAATAACCCTTCGTTCCTCTTAGGGGATATTCTCATACGATTCAACACTAATATGTTATATATCTTAACATTCGAAGCGGATATTCTCGTAGGATATTCTCATACTAATATTATGTTATAAATCTCATATTATGTATACAACCGTAGCTTTACTTTTAGGCTTGGTTTATTAAGTCGGAAAGTTATTAATATATTATTGTTAGAAATGATATTAGCAATAATGATGTTGACTGGAAAGTTGATATTGTCTTTGATGTTCTAAACATCATATATCTCACAGCTTTATATGGAAATACCGTTGGCTTTGTTAATCGAAAATGTAATTGAAATGAAATGGGGTTTAAGGTCCTACTGTTCTGCACCGACTCGGCTAATGAAGACGGGCATGCGCCATAAAGCGTGCTTTGGGTGGATTTTGACCGAATAACGTCGCTACGGCCTACTCCTTTTTCGATTTCCAACAGTCAAGGGTTCTTTTACCTGCACGCCAATGACTACACTCGGTTTTTCGTCCCGTCCGCACGACTAGGCACTAACCGAAATATTGTGTTAATGAAAAACAAACTTCTAGACAACCAAAGTACCACCACCGATAAATTTCTTCAGCTGTATGAATTCCGAAACGAGTTGCTATAAGTGGTATAATTGTTCCAGAAAGAATGAGCATGCCCTTACCTTTCAAATAGTTAAAGCATGAATACAACTGTTATACTTACTAAAACCCAAAGTACAACATGGAATTCAAACATCACTTTTTCCACAGTGTCCGTATAAACTGCATATCTCTCAAAAACTAAATGATAGCTAAATGGTAGCGGGTCTCGGAGTTCAGAATGCTCATTAGATTCAAGTGATTTACACGGCCCACCGTACTGAGCAAAGGTATCCTTTAAATTATATGATATATATGCAGAATTAGCCGAGTTAATCACCGGCTAATGAAACTACTCTCAACATCGTCAACATTGCTAATTAAACTACATACAGATGAAATAATGAAACATAATCCACGTAATATCACTTAAGTTGTGGTATTGGGTAATGATATAAGATATTAGTAGTATTGCGTTCAGTTTGCTATAATATATGAATATATGGATGGCCAAAATTGGTCTCAGCTGTTAGTTTAATATCCAATCACTGTCGTAAATACATTACACCATTGATTGATTGGTTGAGAGAGAGAGAGAGAGAGAGAGAGAGAGAGAGGGATCGAACCCATACTTGCATTGATAAAAGGCCAAATTACCTACTACAGTGGTCGCGCTAGACGACTCGGAAAACGCCCCCCACCATCCCAAACTAAATCAAATTAACATAAAAATAACGATTTTTTCGATTTCCTAAACTTGCAGTATTTTAAACAATACTTCGGTCATTTTGAGACAAACATGCACATTTTTATTCTATGGTTACGTGTGCAATATCAGTATTTTCCCCACGTCCCCGACAACGACGCTCGCCCGTCTTATTGGTTTGTCACCTATAGATCAATGGTCCTTTACGTGCATGGTACTGTGTACACAGGTGTGAACCTCGGTTTTCTTTCTATTCGAACAACTAGTCGCACTTTGCTTGTCAGGCCCACCGCCGGCCCTACCCTTGACAAGTGCTATGACAAAAATCTTTCCCAGACAGCAGCATTTCTGTCTATTCATCATCTTGCTCCAACTGTCCAGGGTTCGTTTTAGATGCACACAATAACTAAAAAGATGGACCTCGGTTTTCCGGCCCATCAGAGGGACTCAACATATTTTCCTTTCCAGACTCTCACCGAAACACACTCATATAATCTACATTCTCTGTATCTCAATGTCTAAAAGTTAAAATCATATACAGCTAACTGACACGCGAATGTCTCCTAACTAACTTTTAGTAAACAAATTACACCAAGTTAAAAGCCATTTGGAACCCATCATAAATTGTGAATATATCGTGATTCTGTGTCATATATAGTAATGTCTATCAGATGAAATATCGTCTACATGTTATAGATAGTCAATGTAACGTAGTCATTTATCACTTGCTATTTAATCCGCTTTAAACTTCATAATGTACAACAATTTAGTTGTGATAACTTACCAAATCGGAAGTGGTGTCAGGGGTTTTTGATGTAAGTATACAATGTCCTTTACTATTTAAAGCAATGGCCTGGTCTCAGATTTTAAAAGCCTCGGATACTCGTGTGCACAAAACCATACATGTTACGTCTTCGTACATGTTACGGGAGCCACAGTGGCTCAGTGTGTAAGACGTTGGCTCGCTAACCTGTCGGTACCGTGTTCGATCGATGCGTTGACCGAGAAAGTTCGTCGGAATTTTCCGGTGTGGTTCCCTCTTGTCAGTGGTGCAGGACGGAGGACCTGACAAGAGACAACGTATAGTCATTCGGATGGCACAAAAAAAACGAGGTCCGATCTTCACATTGGCGTGCACGTAAAAGATCCCTTGACAGTTGGAATTCGAAATAAGAGTAGGTCGCAATGCCGCTGTCCGGGCAAAATTTCCTTCATGACACACTGTATGACATATGCCCAGTCGGAGCACAACAGTAGGAAGTTAAACCTCATGTCATGTCATTTCATTTCATTTCTCGCGACATCCCCGTTGCGACAAAAACATTAGCGTGGTTCAAAACAGAACATGGCGTATTGTTTTTTGTAGACTAATGTATTTGTTCAATTGCGTGTCACAGGCAGTTAGTTTTCATTTCAAAGAACATTTTTGTGTGATCAATGAAAACAACTAGGTGATTGTTTGTGAATACGAAATGAAATGAAATGGGGTTTAACGTCCTACTGTTCTGCTCCTAACTGGACTAATGAAGATCATCATACGCCATACAGTGTGCTATGGGTGAGGGAAATTTTGCTCGGACAGCGGCACTGCGACCTACTCTTATTTCGAATTCCAACTGTCAAGGGATCTTTTACGTGCACGCCAATGTGTACCCGGGACCTCGGTTTTTCGTCCCATCCGAAAGACTAGACAGCTGTCCTTGTCAGGCATCATTGACAAGGGGGAACTACGCCGGAAAATCTGTATGAACTTTCTCGGTCAATGCAGGGATGGAACACCCGACCTCCAGGCTAGCGAGCCAGCTCCTTACCCTCTAAGCCACCGTGACCCCATGTATGTGAATACAGATGTACAACAAACAATTATTAACTCCTCATTTCAGTAAGCATACCCTGCATTTTGCACGACAATCGTAGCCAATAGAGGGACGTGGATGAGAAAGTTATATCAGGTGTTCTAATCGAGTATGCATGCCCTGCCTTTAGCCCGAGAATCGCACCAAATGAACGGACGTACGAGGTATCAGAAATATTAAAAAAAAACGCTCGTTTATATTGTAGCCATTGATATTTATTGTTACATATATTATAACACTAGTTTTAAGTCGACATCACGAGATTTGAATTAAATCTTTCATTTGGTATTTCCCATTTATTTGTCTTTACATTATGTAGATGTTTATTGTACGTGTGTAAATTTGTTTAAAACAACGCCGAGACGATTTGTTTGTCACGTATCCGATGGTCATGTCCGTGTTTTGTGTACAACAAAAAAACCCTAACTGAAATTTTCTTTCAAAAGAAAAAGCACATTGTGTTGTTTAATGTTAGGTCATATATTTTATTTTATGTCGTTTAGTATTTATACAGATCATTGAAACAACTAAAGAAATCTTTAATCAGTTATAGTCCGGTAGCTGAAGGGGGGGGGGGAGAAATCGCCACCCGAGCTGTGAATTTATGAGACCAAGTTTTTCTGGACCAGTTTTTTGCGTAGATTCCGAATCTGGATGGTGATCAGGCGTTTGAGGGGGCGTTTTCGAGATATAGGGGGTCAAATGTCTACAATGGAGGGGGGGGGGCGATGTCATTTTGATGGCATAATATATTAAACATGCATTATGCAAGAGCTAAATCTGATTATTGCAAGTCTTAATTTAGGCTTCAGATGTTATAGAAATTATAAATTAGATCTTTATTTAAACAACAAGACCAAAATCAACTCTGTAGACCCACGGATGGCTCGGCTACAGCTCGGATTTAAATAGGATTTCACTAATTGATTAATTTCCCTCATAGCACACTGTATGGCGTATGCCCGTCTTCATTAGCCCAGTATAGGAGCAGAACAGTAGGACGTTAAACCTCATTTCATTTTGCTCCTAACCTGGGCTAATGAAGACGGGCATACGCCATACAGTGTACTATGAGGGAAATTTTGCCCGGGCAGCGGCGCTACGGCCTACTCTTATATCGAATTCCAACTGCCAAGGGATCTTTTACGTGCACGCCAATGTGTACACAGGGCCTCGGTTTTTCGTCCCATCCGAACGACTAGACAGCTGTCCTTGTCAGGCCCTCCATCCTGCATCACTGACATGAGGAATCCACGCCGGAAGACGGACAGACATATAGTGTGCTACTTGTGGCAGCACAACGGCCTCGTCTTGTTTCAAATTCCAAATGTCAAGAGTTCTTTTACGTACAAGTCACGGGATCTCGACTGTTTTTTTTTATCCCATTTGAACGACTAGATAATGTTCCTTGTTAGGCCATTCGTCCTAATTCACTGACAAGGGGACACCCCGAGGACCTTTCTCGGTGAACACCCGGAGCAAACCCGAGACCTCCTCGTTAGCAGACCAGCGTCTTACTCATTGGGCCACCGCGACCCCACCCCCCTTATTTTAAGAGTCACGTGGTGAGTATAACGCTGGGTCACGAACCAGGATGATCCGGGTTAGCATCGGGTGTTGGCCACAAAAGTTTCTTCGGTATTTTCCAGTTGATGCAGAAAAGTCAGAGTTTAAATCCCATTTCATTTTATTCCCTTTGATTCACATTTATCTATTTTTGACTTCTGACATATATGTTAACGATCTGGGTTGTTATACTGTTAATCGAGTGTAATCTCCTTTTAATTAGCTACACAGCCGATGTTAAAAACATATATACTAAATAGGTCAACCATATCGGTATTTTCTCTTGACATAGTCTTTTATATATAATATATACAAATTATCGTATATATAATAAATATAATTACTCTATACATAAACAAATATAAAGGAAAGAACTGGGTGTCAATTTGATTCTAACATATTCCATATTTGGTTATTATTTGTTTCCAGCTACCATTCGAACTGCCAAACTTTATATGTACATTACTACCAATCTAAACCTCTGTTTCCAGCGAAAAAAATAATCAGATACCCCTGGTGTTAAATTACAGCTAAACTTTATACTGTGGGAAATGTGCAGTTTTCATTTCCGACGCGTTTTAACTTGTGCAAAACCATAATGGGTTCGTATCTTATTTCCTCGTGATATACTCGCTTAATGATGTAAACATTGATAATTAGCCAGGTATGATACGAAGTTGACAATGGTTATATCCTTAAAGAGGGGGAGAAATGGGATTTAACGTCCTCCCAACATAAACTAGGTCATTTCGGGACTAACAAATGGGGCAATTTTATGCCAATAATACGCTTGCACGTAGGGGTCTTTAGCAGTGGGAGGAAACTCCGAGACCCGGATAAAACTCACGCGTTTGGACAGGCGATTCTACTCCTTGTTACTCATCCTTAAGCGTTTTTGATAGTAATTTTCGATTTGCTGTGATTCGACTAGACATTTACAATGGGGCTGTTCAAATTGTGTGTTAAATCTGTGAGAAATCTGACCATTCATCGCTCAGAAATAGATGTTTTATAATTCATTACGAATCATTTTGTGGTTTTCCATACGTTCAGCGAACGCTCGTACGAAATGTGGTTGTCATGGTTATTTTATGTAAAATTTATTAATTTTCTTGTTGTAAGTGCAAGGTTTCTTTAAGTGTGATGGAATGTAGTCAATCTAGTCTCAATAGATGTAATAATGAAGATGAAGTAGATACAAGAATGTTCAGATTCCGGAGCGTATTTACTTAATTGTTCAGTATATTTAAATTATAACCTATATCTGCATGACCCGGGCCATAACAACTATAGCTTAGCCGAGAATTACTTACATGATGTCCACCCTCCTTTATATCATAATAAACGCATTGACGAAGTTCTCCCTCTCTTCTTTTTTAGTATTCAGTGCCTGATTTATTGTATTCAAATCGACTGCCTATAAATTAACAGCAACGATATAAATTTGGGTACACTTTGGGTACAAGATGGCTTGACAGCCCT